CAGTGGGGAGTTGTGCTTCATACCACCGGTCTCACGATGACGAGGGCTGCAGCCAGACACCATGAGGGGCTGGGCCGGTCACGTGTTGGCAGATTCCTCTACCACCTCCGTGGGGAAGATGGGCTCTAGGGGCTCGGGGAGCTCCTCAGCCTCCGCAGCCTTTTCAGCTTCTTCATTAAAGTAGAAAAACGTGTGCTCTTCATTGAAATCTATTTAAAACAAAACAAGTTCGCTGCCTGATCTAGAGGTGCTCGTTTTACAGTGATGCTCCTGCGATGATTTTAAGGAGGTCACTCAGCAATGCCACCCATGTTCAGCAGTGCCCAGGTCACCCTCAGGAAGGCTCTCAGAGCCGCTAACAGTGAGGCCCTTGCTTCTATATCCACTGGGCAAGGAAACTTCTCTCCGGTTTATAGTATGCCCCAATCCTACCGACACTCTGGGATCTTCTGGTGTGGAGAGGATCACGGTGCAAACTTGGCAGTAAAGGGTCAGAGGAAGGAGATGATGTAGCTCAGTGTTTACCCAAGTGGGCGATACCACCCCCGGGGAGGAGGGTGCTGGAACAATGCAGGAGAGGGGGCTGCAAAAGCAGATGCCTAACACATGGTCCTGAATTACAGGGTGTAGTATAAAAGAGTGTCACTGCTGAGGGGTGGCGTGGATTTTATTTCTGCACAGGGGGTGGGTCGTCCAAATAATTTGGGGTACCTATAGTCCAGAGCAGAGGTCGGCAAACTTTTGAGACAGAAGAGTTGATCCTCCCCCTCACAATAATTTAAAAATTATTCGAGAGTCAAAAACATTTTTACAAACAAAACACTGTTATCTGAATAATAACCTCTAAAACTGTGGTTCTCAACCTTCCTAATGCCTCGACCCTCATGTTGTGGTGACCCCCAACCTTAAAATTATTTTCGTTGCTACTTCATCACTGTCATTTTGCTACTGTTATTAATTGGGCGACCCCTGTGAAAGAGTCGTTAGACCCCCAAAGGGGTCAAGACCCACAGGTTGAGAACCACTGCTCTAAAACTTTAGTTTTACTTTAAAGCCCTATGTCTGTACCGAAAAGACCCCATGGGGCTCTTGAGCCACAGTTTGCTGACTGCTGGTTTAGAATCAAGGCCAGCATTAGGCTTAAGTACAAGCCATTGTCAGGTAATTGCTCCCTGGCATGGGCCCGGCTGCCGACTGTCAAGGTCCGGATGATCCTGTCCTGAGGTATGAATGGCTGAACCTTGGCCAACATTTCCTATGCACATATGGAAGTAGCTATCTTCCCATGTTGGAGGGGGGGGGTGTCCTATTTACATTTATGGACCACTGCCAATGCCAGAAAGTCTAGTTTTTCCATACATTCAATCCAGAATGTCACCAGGGAGGAGACTGGGCCCGTGGTCTTTCTGGGGTTCGGAAACAGCTGTTTGCTTTATGGTGAAGTTGGGCTGGAAACGTGATAGGGCCGCTAAGAGACCTGAGGGCCTCATGTGTCAGGACGACATACAACATGGCCAAGGTGAAAAGTGGGACATTGTCATCATACTAGGGGGCAGAGTGGGAGGGGGAGAGTAGCAGGGGCGTCCTTTAATTAAATGCACGACACACTTCTGACTTAGGTGATGTAGACTAGTGAAAGTCTCCCAATTTTGGTTTTCTACACATCAAACTCACTGTTAATATTAAAGGAGCCCTGGTGGCTTAGTGGATTACACACGGGGCTGCTAAACACAAGGTCAGCCGTTGAAACCGACCAGCCACTCCTTGGGGAAAAGATGGTGTCCGCAGCTCCCACGGAGATTTGCAGCCTCAGAAACCCAACGGGGCAGTTTTGCCCTGTCCTGAATGGTTGTTGTGAGTCGGGACAGTTGCACATGGTAAATTGTAATCACGATTTCCCTTTCCCTCCACAATATCTCGAGGCTAAGGGCTGCCTTCTGGCCCCCTTAGTGATACCAGAAATAAAAACGCAAGGTCGTCTTGGGGGTGAGGGTTTCTCTGCAGCCAGCCGGTCCCCAGCGTGCTTTTTTTTTCCTGTGCAGGTCCAGGTGCTTTCCCTGGCGCTCCGCCTGCCCAAGGCCCGGTGTGAAAACGAGCATGTCGCCTACGCCTTCTTAAGTCAAATGACTTGTTTTCCAAGAGGCATGGGGAAAACACCTGCCTTTACCTTCCAAGGTCCGGGGAGGAGAACCCCAGAGTGTAATTTGGACCCTGACAAAAGGTAGGCTTGGAGATTCCAATCAATCAATTCCATTGAAAAACATCACAAAGCCTAATCAGCAGGAAGAAGGGCGAGATGGTTTAAAACATTCAGGTAAATAGATCATCCATTAAGACAACAATAGACACTGTGGCAAATGCCATCCGAGTTTTGTCAGCACTTATTTGTCATCTTTGGATTCCCCTGCCCTCCCACGGGGTGTGGGGGGACCTCTGCTCCCTCCCTCTCCCAATCTTTGTTCTCTCACCCCTGGCCGAGTGGAAAGACACAAAGCGGAGGAGCCGCACGTACCCTGGCTTCCACTCTGGACAAGTTCTTCCTCTATAGAAAACAGGCGGTTGTATTTGGTCACCCGCTCGCCGCGACAAAGACCTCCCAGCTTGATGAACCGGACACCTAGTCCAACAGCCTGGGGGAAGAGGGGGGACACTTTCAATGCACCAGTTGTGTTTTCTGCCAAACAACATACAGTTCCTTACTGAGAAGAGTAACTGGCTTGGTGAATTTATTAATTTTTTAATACAACTTTGGTCTTTTGTTTTAATCTTTACCTAAGTTCAGTGGCTCTCCTAGAAGCGGGGGTGTCAAGGTACCGAGGCAGCTGGGACTGCACGGTGAGCCCCAGCTTTCCTTTGGGCTAATGGGCTGGCCTTTGCCTTTGCTTCCCGAGGTGAAATTGCAGGTGCCCACCCAGCCCTTTAAATGGGTTTCATCATCGTTCCTGGACTTCAATCTTCCTTCTTTTTAAAAGTGCAGAGTTTAGCTCTTTGCCTGAGGTAGCTGTCTGGGAGGCAGCTCGTCCATTTCATAAAAGGTTACACGCCTTGCTCTACCAAAGACTGCCTCTTTCCCTGAAATGCCAATTGGTGGATAAAAGCAGTGTTCTGGCAATTCTGCCACCCACCAGCTCTCGGCACTTACCAAATCGACAAGGCTGTCATCAGACGACTCGCCTTCCGCGCTTCCAAAGACGGCAAACTGTCTCCGACCTGTCAGCGAGGAACTGCGCTCAGCCTCGGCCTGAGTGGAGGGCGGCCTACCTCGGAGCCGGGGGTCAGCGTGGGAAACCTGCTGGGGCTTTTCACGTTGCCCCTTCATGGTCAACTGAGAATTCTCGCCCAAGCCCTCTGCAGTCGCATGGCCCTGGTTTTCTGCGTATCCTTGTCTGTGTGCTAATCAGGTAAACACCATGCTTCTTCTAATGTGGGGGCCCATCAAGGGGCAAGGGCTTGGGGAGTTGGGGGGGTGTTCAGATTAGATCGACAGGCTTGTGAAAACCACAGTCATGAGAAGGGATTCAATTTCACCGGTGAAAACCGTCTCCTTCGAGTTGAGGAAGCATGGTCAGGGCGAGGGCTTTGGGAGGGGGGGGGGCGTGTGTACAGGTGTGGCTGTTGCACTTGGTGGTGTCCATGCATTTTATTCAAAGGAATCTGCCCCTCTGAATGCATACTTATTAGCGCTAATAAGCAGTGTTGATAATATCTAATCAAGCACTTGAGAATCTCAGCCCCCACCCCTTGAAATTTGCCAGAGTGTCTCATGAGGGTGGGTGACTGTGGGTTGGAGGCAGGTGGGCCCCAGCAATCTCAGGTGGAGGACAGGATGGGACAGGGGTGTGGGGGGGTGGGAGGGTGGGCGAGCCAAACCCAGAGCTGGGCACTCCCATTTACCACTTGCCATTAGGCATTTGGTCCCATCGTGTGGCACCAGCCTGGGCCCCTGCTGCCAGCCTGGCTGTAGTCCAGCTTGACACCTGAGGTGAGCCTTCTGCTGTGGACTCCTGGGAGTTTACAGTCCAGTGGAGGAGACGACACATTAAACCCCTGGACAAGGGATGTGGGGCGTGCCACAGAGAAAGTACAGGACACTCTCCTGGAAGGACTCAGCCCAGACCGTGTTTGGGGTGGAACACAGAGAAGACATTCCACATGTATGTGTGTGTGTGTGAGTGTGTGTGAGAGAGAGAGAGAGAGAGAGGCTATGGGGAGAGTACAGGAGGAAGCACTCTAGGCTGAGGGAACACTAGGCTCAATGCCCTGGAGGTTGTAAAGAATTTGAAGATTTTGAAGAATTTCAAAAGGGCCAGTGTGGGTAGGTGGGGTCACTGTGGGGTCCTGGGGGACTTTGCCCTGCCTCTCCAAGACGACCACCCTCATCAGTAAAATGGAAATGATGGTGCTCACTTCCATGGAACATCTCTAAGGATCAAATCCAGTTCAATCGCCTGGCCACTGGCCCTACACAAAGGCTCTCTCATCGGACCTCCAAAACCCACCCACGAGCTCCGCTTTTCAGCTGCCATTCCTCATCCCCGGTGCCTGGCCGTCCCCTCCTGAATTCCAGGCTTGTTGGTGACTCAGTCTGGGCTTCCAGATGTGTCCCTGTTGCTACACTGCCTTAGCCTGCCTGCTTCCCAATGCTGCCTGTTAGTGGTAAACCTACCTCCACCCCACGTCTCCGGATTGAACGGACACCTGCTTCTTCCGAGATCTTTTCTTCACCTGTTTGTTTAACTCCTGAAGCAGAACCATTCTTTGTAGCAGGTGATCTAGTTATAAATTATGGTTCTTCTCCAAATCCCCAAACCAAAACTCAATACCACTGAATCAAGTCAATGCTGACTCACAGCGACCATATAGGGTAGGGGAGGGCTGCCCCTGTGAGTCTCTGAGACTGTAACGCTTTACGGGAGTAGAAAGCCCCCTCTTTCTCTCAAGGAGTGCTGAGTGGTTTCCAACTTTGAACCCTACAGGTAGCAAGCCAACACGTACTATCAGGGCTCCATAGACTTCCCCAGTCATTTCCAATTAAGATGGCTCATGGATGCAGGTAGATTACAACTAGCTAAGCTTATGTTTCAACCAGGTCATTCCGATACCGTCTGCGTACTTGGGCTTGTGCCTGTGCGGGAAGAAGAGCTATGGGAAGAAGATGCTTGGAGGAGTCTGGAGCATAAAGTGCGAGGAGATAATAGGAATGTGATGGGGGCTAAGTCCATCTGTCCCTGCTGTTCTGTCACAGTGTGGGAAGCCTTGTCCTTGAGGATGGTGAGCTGTCTTTCTTACCTTGAATTGTGTCTGGACACACAAGTGGGGGCCGTGGGATCCCATGGTCTACAGATCATGAGTGAGCTGAAGCCCCGTCAACAGTGAGGGCTGGAGTATCCCTCTGGGCTTTTCCAGCCGTTTATTTCTGGAGCGAAGCGAAATGGGTCAGTGTGCTGTAGGGTGTGCGTGCAGAGGCCTTGGGCCAACTCTTCGGGGCAGAAAGGCTGTTCCCCTGTGAAGCTGACAGTCAGTGGGCTTTACCACCCAGCGTGGTAGCCCTCAAGAAGGGAGATGTCCTCAGTGACTGGGGCTGTTCTTGGGACTCTATCAAGTGAGTCAGTATGCTGCATTTTGTTTGCTTGTTGTTCAGCACGAGCTCTGTCACAAATGGGTGGAATTTTTTTGTCTTCCGGGGTTTGATGTTTCTATTAACTTTGAAATACTGCCTGGGGCGTCTCCCATTAATAACCAAGTTAAGTTCGCTGTGGGCCTTTCAAGTCTGCTTTTACTCACTGTCGATGAGATTGGTTATTTCCGCCAGGTCAGACATGGTCGTTTGGTTCGTGTGTCTTATGATCAGCCCACTGGCTCTGGGGATGTGGTTGATCCCGTCCTCCAGAAGCCTAGAAATGCTTTTGCACGCCTCGCCTGCGATGATGTAACACCTGGAGGCCAGAGCGCTATAGAGGCTGTCCCACTGCTCAGCATCCTGGGTAAATATGTGAGAATTGGATCGTTACAATGGATTGCGCATAACCTCAAAGCAACAGGAAGTATGTAGCACGTGATCAGACTCACAGACTTTTCCTGAGCGATACACACAAATCTCTTTTTTCCAATCCCCCAATTTTTTTCTTGCATCTGGCTGAATGATACCTGCTACCACAGCCACACAAATAACACGCAACACCAACAGACCAGACGCTTACAAGGAGATGACTTAGATGTGAGCTTAAAGGCATTGGTGGATAAAATGTGATGGGCATGAAGTGCGATGGCCAACATAGAGTCAGGATTCTTCCAGGACAGTTAACCCCCTCAGGACCAATAATGAGTGTGGTGATGCCAGTAGGGGAAGGGGAAGGTGGGGGCGAGGGGGAGAAAGGAGGAACCGATCACAATGATGTACATGTGGCGCCCTCCCAGGGAGGTGGACCGCAGAGGGATGGGTGAAGGGAGACACTGGTCAATGTAGGACATGAAAAATAATAATTTATAAATTATTAAGGGTTCATGGGGGAGGGAGGGAAACAAATGAGCTGGTGCCAAGGGCTTAGGTGGGAAGAAAACATTTGGAGGGTGATGGTGGCAGCGTGTACAGGTGTGCTCGACACAATGGGTGTGTATGTATGGGCTGCGACAAGAGCTGTACGAGCCCCCAATAAAATGATTTTTAAAAATTCAGGATTCTTCATACAGGTGTTCCCCCTCCACTGTATTGCCCGTGTGGCTTCTAAAGGCTGCCTGGCTAGAGGAATGAGCTGCTACTTCTGGCAGACAGACAGCTGGAAGTAACATGGCTACAAGGTCCCTAGGCCTCCTTTCTCAAGACCATTTGGTGTATCAGTGAGACGGCCACTGTGAGTGCTTTTTACTCTAAAGGGAAGCAACATACAGAGCCACCCGACTGTTCTCCCCCGTGTCAGCCTCTTCCGTTTGAATAGACAGTACAGGTTTGTGAGCATATTAGGTAAGCGCTGTGCTCAGAGCCTCAGATCATGGTCACCCAGGAAAATCTGGCAAGGTGAGGGATGGGGCCCGGTCTGTGTTTCCACAAGGGCTGGTGTCCAGCATGTGGATGGGGACTGAGCGCCTCTGGGAGTCCAGATAAGACCCATCATGCTTTTGTCCCCACTTGTCCCCATTACAGATGCTTTGCTGTAAGAGGATAGAGTCTTGTTCCGGATCTCTGAGAGTGGTCAGATTCACAGAACCAAGACTTGAAGGGGTGGAGTTTTAAGTGGTGTTATAGATGGAACTGTGCCTCCCGGCCGCCCCCCTCCAAAGCAGATGTTGGAATCCTAACCTTGTACTGCTGGTGTAATCTTAATTGGAAAGAGTCCTCTTTGTTAGGGTAATGAGGCCACATCAGTGTAGGGCATGGCCTACACCTGATCACTTCCGAGTTAACAGAAAGGCCAGGTTAGATACAGAAGCCAAGGCCTGCTGGAGAAGACAGATGCTATGTGCGGACTTTATGCAAGCCAAGGAGCCAAGGACACCGGGCTGCCGGCATGGCCGAGACCTGGTTTGGACTTGTTGCCTCCAGATCTTGGGGAAAATGAATGTCTGTTCTCTGAGGTCACGCACTTGTTGTCTGTGCACTTGCCACTGCGGCCCTAAGGCCCTAAGAGCGGAAGCCAGTGCACTTGGGAGGAGAGTTGGCCGCCTGGGCGTGTACACAGCCCTGGGCAGATGCTTTGCAAATGTTGACCAATAAGGTTTGGGTACTTCTGGGAGTACGTGGGAACTGAATTTAGGCTGGAACCAATTGGGCCCGTTTCCATGAGCACGTGGGAATGGTCATGATTGGTTACCAACTGAAGCAACTTGAAAACTCCTGGGTAATCCTAACGTGCTTGGGGGTTGGCTTGTTTCCTTCTGCCCCCACACAGGCAGGGCAAGCACCTTCGTAGGTCATTGCGTTTCTGCCCTGCAGGTGCGTGGCGGCTGCCTTTTGCTCATCAGGGCTGACAGACAGCAACTCGGCCCCAGCCCAAACTGTGACACATTTTGAATGGCAGCAGCGGTCCTGGCCAATGAGGTTCGTGTTGCCCTGTGGTTTGTTATAAAACCCGAGGTGAGTCCGCTTACCTCCTTCCTGAACGGATCGATTAAGGCAACAATTGAAGGGTATTTGTTGATCAGGTCCACATACAGGTCAACCATCTCAGCAGCACTTTTTAAGGTTCCCATGGCCACCTCGTACTTGCCCTTACTCTGGCCCAGGTGAGGAAAATGGGAGAGGACAGACCGTGAGTCCCCCCAACGTTAAACGATGGGGTTCAAATTCACAGCATCAGAAGCAGGTTCTCTCCAGGCCATGTGCACCCAAGAAATCCCTGTGTCTTTCATGAAGTTCCCCTTAAATCTTAACCCTGGGGAGCCAGGTCACCACTTAGCGTGAAATAGCTGCTCCCGTCCTCTTGAGAACCCACGCCTTCTGCCGACACCTTCTGCACAACTGCCCAATGGCCCCGCGTGGGTGGGGGGACTGTCTGATTGGGGCTCATGAACTACCCAGGGAGAAGGGATAATGGCATCAATTCATAACCAGCCAACAGAATTAGCAGGGCCCACCTGCCCACTCACAAGAGCACACGCTTTCCGTTCTCGGAGAGCAAGTGGCTTGTTCCCTCCACAGTGACTATATCAAGTAGGGATCTAGGTCGGGGCTTTTGACGGAAGGGAATGCACTGCTTACTCCGCATGCAGCCGCGCCCACTGGCAGTACTCTGTGAAGCGGGGGTGTGAGCGTAGCCCGCTCATGTGGGTCTGGAAAGCCCTCCAGTCGTAAGGAGAGAAATAAACGTGGCTGAAGAGGTTGAAAGTCGTCCTGCTAACGGCAGCACGTTTACTTCGAAGTCTGTGTTCAGGGATGGCAGGTGGGATATGCAGGTACCGAGAGGCAGGTGGGAGGGATCAGGGTGGCTGTTTGGTTTGCTAACCATGTCTTCTTGCCGCTGTGGCTGCTGACTGAACTGACTCCATTGGAATCAGACAGGTTCCCAAGGAGCCCGAAATTAAAGGGAGCTTCTACTTTTCCATGTTAAAAAGCGGCAAGAACTTTTAGCTTCCCTATCACAGAGTCTTAAAAATCCGGTCTTGTCAGTGAGGAAAAACTAATGACTTTGAAGCATGATCTGATACCAAGCTAAAACATTTTACCAGAAGCACGAAGCGCCCTTTCTAGCTGGGCCTAGCAGCCAGTATCTTCCTAGTTCTGGGTTTACATTGTGCATGAAAACATGCAATTATTTTTCCTAATGGTATGCCTAGGAACCAATCATTATGAGAAGAAGGGGAAACTGCTTTAAACATGCCTTTATGTACTTGAGTTTCTTTAGGAGAGGGAAAGCACATTTATAAATCAGCTGAAACATGAAGTTCTTATATGTTGTTTAAATTTTCCTTTGTAGTTCAGGTAGGAACCACGTATTAAAGTGGGACCCTGCTTGGGCATCACCCCTTGAGTTTGACCTTGATTTCCCAGTCACCATAATTATTTATCAATATACTGCATACTTGTGGGACTTAACTCATAGCAACCATATAGGACAGGGTAGAACTGCCCCTATGGGTTTCTGAGACTGTAACTCTTACGGGAGTAGACAGCTTTATTTACTGAGGAGCAGCTGGTGGTTTTGAACTGCTGACTTTGAGGTTAGCCTAACAGGAAACCCCACTATGCCACAAGGGTTGTTATGAGTTGGAATCAACTCGATGGCATTGACTTTTCAGCTTTTGACTGTGGACTTGAAAACAGGAAGGATGTGTACAAACAGGAATGTGAGTAAGAGACAGAAAAGGTCTAATAGCTCCCCTTGCACACCAATTTGCCAGGCTTACAAGCGAATCGTTGGTGCATTTCCCCATGGAAGTGAAGGTTGCAACTTTTGCCAGGAACATGTTTGGTTCATGGCTAGCTTCCCAGTTCCCTCTCTCATAAATTCTTCCACATGAGGTGGCTCCCCAGGTGAAGTTCCTAACACCTTGTTCTCCTAACCCAGGTGGTGAATACATACCATTTTGATGTGTTTCGATTAAAACTTGGTCCCCATAAATATCAATAACGAGGAAATCCTTTTGAATCAACACAGCATAAGTGCCCAGAACGGCATGTCTAGAGGACCCCGTTGAGCCAATGGCGACAACTTCCATGACTGACAGATGTTGTACGGTAGGGGTGGGGATGGGGGGCATTTCCAAAAGATTGTGCAAAAATGGGCTGAAAAAAATCATGGCACTTTTTTGAAGCCCCTTTGTATTTATCAACCAAATGACTAACTCAGGAGGTTCGACTAGCTCATTGCATTGTTTTTCAGTAGCTGAGTCCTGGTGGCATCGCGGGTCAAGGGTTGGGCTGCTAACTGCAAGCAGTTTGAAACCACCAGCTGCGCCACTGGAGAAAGATGAGGCTTTCCACTCCCATCCAGAGTGACAGTCTGGGAAACGGGGCAGTTCTACCCTGTCCAGGGCTGCTGTGAGTCAGACTGGCTCAATGGCACTGCGGATTTTTTTAAAGTTGTGCTCACAATGTAACCAACCTATCCTATTCATTTTTTACTTACATACTTATGTCTAGTTTTCATCACATTCTGGGTTTAATTTTCAACACTGGACTCCTGAGGTGATGTTGATCCTTTGGTCATCCGGGTAACTTAGCTCTCAACACTGTATTTGGCCTCCTTACACCCTATCAGTGGACAGCAGTCGGATCGGGCAAGATTTGGATCGGCTCTTCTTTTGCATACTGATTTTGAAATGGGGGAAAAAGGGCTCTTTACAAAGAGGTCACAGTTCTGGAGTGAACACTTACGTAGTCCATCAGTTCATGCGCCTCACAGTTGATGGCCAGGTACAGGTTGGTTCCCAGTTCCAGCCCCAGGTTGGCACAGATCCCTTGTATCAGGAGGATGGGCTGCTCGATGGTGTCAAAGTTGATGGTTAAACAGCCGAGATGGGACATCTTACCAGTGATCTGCTGCTGCAAGGTCAAAAAAGAAGATGCAGCTAAGCACGAGGAATATGTGGTGGCAGGCAGAATAGGCGCAGGCACAATGGTGAGGATGGCAGAGGACCGGGCAGTGTGCCGTTCTGATGTGCATCGGGTTGCTATGGGCCAGAGCCGACTCGATGGCACCTAACAATAACAACAGTTTACCTGGAGACATGGCTCTCCAGAGATGGGACAGGACTCCTGTGCTTCTGCAGCCTTGGCCGTGGGTATGTGGGAGTGTTCTGTTTCTCCCCAGAGTTCTCATTTGCCTGGGGGCACATTGGTCTCTCTTCCATGCATTAGCTGGGCTGTAGTCTGTGGGGCTAACTTGGGCCTGGCCCACAGACTCGCATCCCCTTCGCCACACTTGTTCGCCCCATGTTGTGTCCTCCTTTAGAAGGACGTGGCTACTAAAACTTAAAGCTATAACCTTTCTTTAGGGAAGGTCGTGTTTTTTTCAAAAGATGGAAGACTTCTGCCTGAAGTACAAAGGATGGGTTCTGTGGAAGAGGATTGGGGAACCCAAATGGGTTCAGGGAGAGGCAGCCACCTGCCACTCATGCCAGGTGAGCGGTGATGTACCCTTGCCAGAAATTGCTACTGGGCCATTTATAAGTTGCAGCAACATCCATGACTCTGAAGGCTTCAGGGCCCGGGAGCCCTTGCACACCTGTGTGTGTGTGTTAAACACAAGTACACATGGATAAATATCCTGTTTACTGGTGATAGCCTTAAGCCGGCATAAGAACCACTCAGCATTTTAAATGTCAGTGAGTGGAACCTTTTATTCAGCAAATAAAGGACTAACTGACGTCTTTCCTGTGTATCACTGGAGGCATTTGATAATGTACTTTTCTTAACTAGGCAAGGATGACTTCCAGTTACTTATCAAATGTCCGAGTGCATACAATAAACACACTTGCTGATTACAGCCACACCAGGAAGGAGGCACTGTTGCTATGCCCACTTAACAGGGAGGGCAGTGACTTGGAGCTGATTCTACTCCAAACAATGTGCCTCCGGCATCTATGCCCAGCCCCCTGGTATGGCTGCCCCTCAAGACTCTACCACCCAGCCCTGCTTCAACAGATATACTGTTTTCCCGGAAGTAAGACATCCCCCAAAATAAGACCTACTTACAGTTTTGCCTCTTGCTGAAATATAAGGCACCCCCAAAATAAGACCTCCCCCAAAATAATGCCCCCCGAAGCTACCATAACTCTGGACTCTGGAACGTAGCGGCAGGTGCCGCCATGCAGCTCACTGTTGGCTGCAGCGCAACCAGAGCAGACAGGAAGTGCGAGGTCTCTTTTAATAAAACAAGCAATAAATGTGTACCATATCCTTCTTCATGGAAAAATAAGATATTCCCTGAAAATAAGACCCAGTGCATCTTTGGGAGCAAAAATTAATATAAGGCACTGTCTTATTTTGGGGGAAACAGGGTAGTAACAGTGGGTCAAGAAGGTTGAGTTTGGTTTCCGTTTCTCAGGACCCAGAACCCAACTGAGAAGACGGCCTGGCTGGGAGGAGAAGAGCCCTGGGGCTTGGTTACTTGCCCAGGTCCCCCAGCCCCCCAACCCCTCGTAGAGACAGATGTTCTCAGTCTGACATACACAGAGGTTAGGGGTTAACCTACTGCTTGTCTGACATTACTTCTCTCTCTCATTTTGAGGGAGAGTTCATTATTATGATTGTTATGATTCTATCATTACCTGTTATTTCGGTAACAGCCCATCTGATGTCAATAGGTGTTGATGCCCCTGCCATCAGCTCAGGGCAGTGGCTGCAGGCTTCTGAGAGGACATACTGCAGGTCTGAGTGGCCTTCCCCCAGCTGCATGCTTGGCAGGGCTCCTAATTGGTTGTCCGACAAAAATGACCTTGGGAAGAGGTGGGTCTGCTAGACCAGTGACTGTCTGCCTGGCTCCTGACACAATCTGAATTCTGGTGAGGCATCATCTGAAATGCCTTTGGGCGACCAAATGGAAGGTCACCCTTTTGTGCCTACTCTTCTTTAACATTAGTAATATAAGCTCTAACATACTCTACATGCTGTTCAGTTCATTATCAGAGAAACTCAGCAGCCCAAGTGCATCCGTCTATTCTAACCTGTTAGACTGTGCCGCTCCCAGGCGTTGGGGGGAGGCCGGGCAGGATTCCGTCCCAGCCCTGGGGCTACCTGGTGCAATACCCTGGAACACTATCCCCTGGACTTTCCATTTGCACTGGACCTGTCGTGGAGCCAAATGACTAGGGGCGAGGGACAGGGGCAGGGAACACACGCATAAATCCTGTCACAGAGAATGGTGACAGCAAACCACATACTCACTTGACCCCTTTTGCCTCCATTGTGCCCCTTCTTCGTCTCTGGTTTTGCAGGAGGGGGCTATGAGACAGGAGACACACATGCATCACTTGGGCTCTACTGACATGTCCTGGGCTGCCCGTTCACATAGAAACAGAGGATTTCTCCCAAGTTGTCTCCCCCCAACAGATGCCAAACTTAGCTGCTTGCTACACGTGGTGAATGACTATACACTTGGAGGTTAATAGAAGTAGGTCAGGGGTTATTCTCTCTAAGGGTTATCAGCCATCTAGAGCAAACAGACACCACTGTTTATCCCACAACAAGTAGGGCCCACTCCCTTCTGATAAGGATAGTAGATTGTTTCCCTGAAGGAGTGTCCAGGGAGGTCAAGCCCACCCAAGGGTGACCAAGGTTAGGCCACCATCATGAATCTAGGGTCCACCCATTTTATCACATATATACCTCAAGTCCCTCCCCTTCCTATGGGCACACCCCTATCTCATCCCCTTCCTGTCACGCCTCTGCCTATCCTATATCCCCTTCCTATCATGTGTATGCCTATTGTACTGCCCCTTCCTGTGACGTGTGGTTACCTGTAATCATGCCCCCCTAAGTAGTTATAAGCCTTGGTTAGCAATAAAGTGACGCCCCTGCTCTGTCTTCGGCTCTCTCCACCTGGACCACCAAGTGGGGCTGAGGTGAGCATGCTACCATGAATTGTGTCTGACTCCATTATTTCAATCTCTCCTCTATCTCTCGTGCTATGACTTTACTATAATCTTTACTTATTATTGCTGTATAATTGTGCCTACCGGACCTGTGATGATTGTTGATGGCTCTCCCCCCTCACAATGTGTGATCTTGCAACCCACCTCATATGTTTATAAAGGACAATCTTGTTTCCCAAAGGTCGGCCCAGCTTCCCTTTATTCGTCCTTCTGTGCCAGCTCACATATACAAGAATGTGGAGATTAAGAGCCCTGGCAGTGCTGTTGGGTAAGCGTTGGGTTGCCACCTGCAAGATCAGTGGTCCAATCCCACTAGCTCAGTGGTTCTTGACCTTCCTAAAGCCGCAACCCTTTCATACAAGTTCCTCATGTTGTGGTGACCCCCAACCATAAAATTATTTTTGTTGCTACTTCATAACTTTAATTTTGCTACTGTTAGGAATCGGGTGACCCACAGGTTGAGAACCACTGTACTACTCTGCTATCTTCTCCTGTAAAGATTGACAGCCGTGAAACCTTATATAGGGTCGCTATGAGTCTGAATGGCATGGTCAGCAGTTGAAAATCACAGGCCATTCTGGGAGAAAGGTGACACTTTGACTCTTGTAAAGAGTTGGTCTGAGAAACCCACAGGACCAGTACGACTCTTTCCTACAGGGTCACGAGGAGTTGGAATGGATTCACTTTTTTTAGTTTAGATGTGTTGGAAGTATGTTGCTTTTAAAAGCTTCATTTAAATAAACAAAGAAAAGCTTTTCTAAATATGAGGGACTTAAAAAAATTGATGGAAGAACTGGATTATCTTTTAATTCCATCTTTTCCATGAACTCTTTGAAGTCCCCTTGTATATAAATATCCATACCTTTCTACTCATAAAAAATGTGTTGGTTTTTTTGGGGGGGTCATCAACCTATGTATTTCTGTTCAATTTTTTAAAATTAAAAGATCACTTTATTGGGGACTCTTACAACTCTTGTTATAATCCATACATCACTTGCATCAGGCAAATTTGTACATATGTTGCCTTCACTCTTTTCTAGACATTTACTTTCTATTGAGCTCTTGGTCTCAGCTCCTCTTTGCCCCCCCATCTCTCCATCCCCCTCATAACCCCTTGATAGATTATAAATTGTGCATCAGAAGACACATAACAAACAAACAAAACCATATTGTTGAGAATGAAGGAGGTTGGAGCAGAGATCCAAAGCCCATCTGTAGACAGTGGAACAATCCCCGCACAGAGGGGCCACAGGGAAGGGATGAGTCAACAGAGTGCAGTAAAGCATCGATGAAACACACTATATTCCTCTTGTTCCTTGAGGCTTCCTCACCCCCCACTACCATGACACCAGTGCTGCTTCTCAATTCAGACTAGACCGGAACATGCACATAGGTATAGATAAGAGATGGGTGCTCATGACACACAAAATCCAGGCACAGGATGGGCATAGCGATACCAGAAGTGTAGAGGGAAGTGGGGGAGAGGAAGAAGGAAAGGGGGAACCAATTGTAATGATCTACACATAACCATACACCCCTCTCCAGGGGGAAGAACAACAGAAAACATAGGGGAAGGGAGACAGTGGTCGGTGTGAGATATGAAAAAAAATCATTTTTCTTTTTTTGACTCATAGTGATCCTATAGGATAGAATAGAACTTCCCTATGGGGGTTCCAAGGCTGTAAATCTTTCGGGAAGCCGTCTGTGATATCTTTCTCACTGAGAGCAGCTGGTGGGATGTGAACTGCTGACCTTCCAGTAGGCACTTGAGTGCTTAGCCACTGAACCACCAAAGCTCCTTTCTACTTGAGTCCGCAGAAGCAGAGCCGTCTTCCCATGCAGTGTGCTCGCCCCGCAGCTGCCTGCAGCCCTCCTTGGGCCACTGAGGACACTGAGTCCCCGCCTTGCCCTGATGAAGCAACACCACTGTGGGATTTGTAGACCTCACATGTTGCCTCGAATAGCCTCATGGGGAAAAAACACTTTTTCCTGCTACCTGGGTTTAACTTTGAGAACCAGCCAAGGGTCGTTAACTCTATGTGTGATGTCTCTGAGTGAAAAAGCAAAGGTAATTCCCAAAGAAGGTCATGCCTAAAAAGCAAAGGTCATGCTTATTGTGTTTGGGGTTTTGATAGCACACTGTTGTTAGATGCTGGCACCTCATGGCCCTGTCCACAGCAGACCAAACGCTGCCCCATCCTGCACCAGCCTCACAATTAGGATGTTTGAACCCATTGTTGTCGCCATTGCAGTTATCCAACTTGGTGAGATCTTTTCTCTTTTTTGTTGACCCTCTCCCAAGCATGAGGACTTTTCGTGGATGGGTCTCGGTGGTTGACATGGCCAGCCTTTCACCGTCACTGCTTCTAAGGAGCATTCTGGCTGTACTTCTTGCAGGACGGGTTCATTTGTTCTTCCGGCAGCCAGGGTAGTTCCGTCGTCGTCTTTGCCAACACCGTAATTCGAATGCATCAATTCTTCAGCAGTCTCCCTTTTTCATTGTCCAGTTTCACAAAAGCCTGATAGCCCACTGAAAATACCGTGGCCTGGGTCAGGGGCACCTCAAAGTGACATCCTTGCTTTTCAACACATCAAGAGGTCTTGCGCAGCAGGTCTGCCCAATGCAATACGTCGCTTGACTTCTTGCCTGCTGCTTCCATCGCTATTTGATTGTGGAACCAGCAAAATGAACTACATGACAACCTCAATCTCTTTCCTCTTTATCGTGATTTTGTCTGCTGGGCAAGTTGCGAGGATGTCTGGGTTCTTTCCATGGTGCTGCAGTCTGAGTTTTACCAGCAAAGGCTGCAAGTTCGCCTCACGTTCAGCAAACGAGGTTGTGCTCTTTGTATATGGGAGCTTGATAGAAGTCTTTCTCACTCTGATGCCATGTTCTTCAGAGTTCAGTGGCCCGGTCACTTGCTCAGCATACAGACTGTGAAAGTCTACAACCTTGAGCATGCCTTTTCTGATTTTAAACGGCACCATTTCCTTGTTCTGTTCAAAGGATTGCCTTTGGGGTCTGTGTCCGGATTCCACATGAGCACAATTAAATATTCTTGAATTCCCTTTCTTTAAAATGCTATCTATAGTTGGTTATGATCCATTTTACAGTCTAGTGCTGTAAAACACTAATACACATCCTTCTGGTATCCCTTGATTCACGTCCTCTTTTGATCTGACTTGGTTTTCTGGCAGTCCCCCGTCGAGCCACTGGTACATCCATTTTAAAAATTATCTTCAGAAAGGGGTGCTAAACAGTGATTATAGGGAACCTAAGGGGACAGTGGTCCAGATTTTATGTTCCTGGGTAGACACTATGAACACCTTTCTACCTAACCCTCAATGGAACACGACATGGACTAAACACCAAGATGACCTTGGATGCTGACCTTGCAGCCACCATGACATAACCCTGGGCTACACAGAGAAGGACTCTGCATAGCAGCCAGGCAGAATGAACTGAGCCCTGCCTCAAAGGTGCTTGCACCCTTGATGCCCCTTCACAGCACCGTGACAGGTTTTGATCTGTTGGTCAGGGATTTGAAGTTGGGAAGAATTGGGCCAGGAAGTTCCCTTCTGGCACCAACCCCCATGCTTAGGGTAAACAGAGCTCAATTGAATGGGAGACGGAACTATGTGGAGCAACAACCCGTGGGTTGTCCTCAGGGTGGAACTGTCTTGGCAGACACTCCTGACTACAGTGTTCAGAGCGATGTGTCATTGGAAAAAATCGATGATGTTGCAAGTGCAACCGCCTTATATCCCAGGGGAATGAGTGACAACGTTACATTTTTCTGTTTATATGGGGTTTTGTTTTCTTGTCTTTCGGTTGCAGGTTATTGTTTCTGTGTTTGTCTTTTATTGTCTGCTGGTTGGTGTGTGACTGTTGGTGGGGAGTTGGTCTTCAGGGGTGTTGAATTAGCCATATGACCACCAAAGTAAACCTGAGTCCTGCATCTCCCAGGGACAAGCAGATGGATTCTGGGCCCCCGCTTAACTCTAACCAAAACAGTCAGTTCTGATAACACAGCCCTGCTCCATACTCACCCTCATGTAATGATCACTAAAGGTAAGGGTGCTACAGCAAAGTGTGGTGAAGAAAGCAGATGGTGTCTGGCTATTAATTGGAATGGTGTCTGGTGTCTTAAAAGCTTGTATTCAGACAAGCAGCCATCTAATTGAGGAGTCAACTAAGTCCACATGGAAGAAGCACACCAGCTTGTGTGATCCAAAGACAACAATAATAAAATTCAAATCTGACAAAGGGAAAAGTATCAGAGTACAGATCTTGAACACCCAGTTTGTAGAAGGCTATGGAGGATAGTGGGAGCCCAACACCCATCTGCA